GGTGCTTTGAACAACAGAAATGTATTGTCTCACAGCTCTGGAGGGTAAAAGTCTGAGGTCAAGGTGGCCACAGGGTCACGTTCCCTCTGAAACCTGGGAGGAAGGATCCTCCCGTATCCCCACCTGGCTTCCAATGGTAGCTTGGGCAATTCTTGGTGTTCCTCGACTGGTAAGCCTGGAATCATGCTCTCCCTGGGTCTCCATGTTCAATTTCCCTCTTCTTCTGAGGACACCAGGCACTGGACTAGTGCCCATCCCAGTCCTGTGGGACCTCATCTTCCCTTGACTACCTCTGCAAAGACCCTAGTTCCAAAAACGGTCCAAGTTACGGCATCGGGGGGCTAGCCAACACTTCCTTCCAGGAGACACAGTTCTCCCCATAACGTGGTGTCCACCTGGCCCAAAGGTCTGGGGACTAGGAAGGGGATGTGCCTGCGGGTGAGGGCTTAGGGCCATGGGCTATCACTCCACTGGGACATCCCTGCACGGGTTTGTACCCTGCCACCTGCAGCGAAATAAGGGCGAGGGTAAAGCTGGTGGTAGGCACCCTGGAGTCCAAGGCCGGAATCCCAGCTCTGCTCATGGAACAGAGTTGTGACCTTGATCACATGTCCCTGTGGGTCTCAGTTTCCCTTCTAGGCACACATACATGCATTCACGCATTTACATATATATACACAGTATGTGCATTCACACACCTCTATGTTCACACGCGTATATAATCTGTTTAGCAATGTGTTTCGTACATTCAGTCGACAAAAACTGTAGTTACCTATTTTCCCATCTGAGGCCTGGTTTCTTTAGCATATTTGCACACACACACACACACACACACACACACACATATATGCACGTTCACAAATGCGTATCATGTGGTTAGCACAATGTCTTACACAATCGATACATAATGACCATTATTGTCTGTAAAAGGGAGCCAACGTGTCTTGTGTCTGAATTACCCATCAGCTGGATACAGCATTTTACCTCCGAGATGCCCTTAGCTCTGAAATTCTAGGACTTGGACTAAAGAGGCAGACGGGGACCCAAGGCGTGTGGTCCAGGATTCTTTGTTCCGTGGGAACACCGAACAATAAAGTCTCCCTTTTCTGTGCAGAAGCCTTTAATGGTGATGTAGCCGTACTGGCAGCTTGGAGCCTGCCTGGGAGTCTCTCTCTCCCTCTCTCACTCTTTACCCCTCCCCTGCTTGCACACGTGCACGCGTGCTCACTCTCACTCTCCCTCTCTAAAAAATAAATAAATAAACATTAAAAAAAATATTAGCGGGGCTGACGGGTTCTCAGGTCCACATATTTATTGTGTAAGGCTTTCCTCCTTCTGTGTAGCCTCTTGATTTCTCTAAGTGATGGTTCTGACCCCTGGCTGCACATCGAAACCCCGGGGGAGCTCTGGAAAACCCCAGTGCTTGCACTACGCCCCAGGCCGGGAGCATCAGACTCTCCAGTGAGTTTTAAAACTTCTCGGGTGATTCCTTGTGCAGTCAGCCTGAGACCCCTGGACCACCGCCCTCCACCTCCCCAGCTTGGCAAGAAAAGAATTCCTCCCTTGTCAGAGTGACTTCGGAAGCCTTTTTGCTTTTTATTTTTTTATGATTAAGAAAGCCCATAAGTCTTTTCCTAACCCAACATTTGTGTTAGGGGTTTCACACAGATAAGGCCAAAGAGAGTTTAAATCGGCCTGTTTCGTGTCCTGTGGACGACCTGATTTTCAGCAGAGGCAGGCAGGTCTGGGTTTGACCCTGGCCTCCACTATTAACTGGCTGTGTTTCACGGGGCAATGACTTGACTTCTCTGAACCTTAGTATTCCTCTTCTTGAAATGGAGCCAACAGTACAATGCCCACGAGGCTACCTGAGGCGAAGGGAGGTGAATCCATAAATATTACCGTAAACGACATGATGTCCGATGCCTTCAATCTGCCAGCTACGGCGTGGGATAGTAATAATAATAAACCCTCCCGAAGGCTGGAATGCGTCCTCCTAGCAGTCCAGCCCTCCACCACGAACACGAGGAAGCGGAGCCACTCAGGCATCAAGTCAACACAACAGGACTCACAAACGCAGTGGGGCAGGCGCGAGGTCCAGATGGGCGTGCCGGTCTCGCGGCTGTAGCAGGTCAGAAGAGAGCTCCCTTCCAGCACAAAGCCCGGGTTGCAGGTGTATTGGATGGTGGTGCCCACCAGGAGTACGGGATCCGAGATTAAGCGGGTTGAGTGGTCCACTTCCCCGGGGTCGGTGCAGTACATGACTAGGGTGAAATCAGACCGGGAGGGCGTTAGGGCTCTGGATGATCACAGGTTTGCTGAGAGCTGCGGGATGACGTGGGAAGTTTCCTAACCCGGTTCTTTTCCTGTTTGGAAGATCATGCACCTGAGCCCATCAAAGGTGGTTGGAGAACAGGCCAGGATGAAACAGATTTGCATTTAATTCCACTTACAGGAAGCAGCCCAAAGAAATATTTGCATCAGGCCCCAAAGCCCTACGTACGAGGTTGTACATCATTGCACCATGATTTGTAATGGTACAAAAAAAAAAAAAAAAAAAAAAAAAAAAAAGAGAGAGAGAGAGAGAGAGAGAGAGAGAGAGAGAGAAACAGTGCAGATCCTTTGACAGGGGAAGAGTTAAATACGGAACAGCCATTCTATAGAATCCTGAGCAACCACCGAAGAGAACAGAGTGAGGAGCCCTTCACTGCTTTCTTTGTGGTGCTTGAATCTAGCAAAACAAGCACCCATTACTTTTCAATTAAAAAATCAATAGACATAAAAGGAAGACAGTAAACCAATTAAAAAAGAATGAAGGAGGACCACGTGTGACATGAAAAAGCGTCTGGATTTCTGAGCTGCAAAACGGCAGGCACCAGGCACTTTGTACACGGTGATCCCTGTTGTGGCAAAATATCGGTCTCTCCAGCCGTTTCTGTAGGGATATCTCTCTGTCTATGTTTGCACGGGACACATGCACATACGTGTATCTGTGTAACACACACTGTGACTGGAACAGCACAGAATAAACTTTTAAGAGCGGCATCATTTCTCGAGGGTGAGATCATGAGGGATTTTCACTTTGTACCCCGAAATGTTGCTACTGGTTGAGTGCCGTAAGGAAGCACTTGCTGCTGGGGTGATGTTAAGATTCGGTTACGTGCATCTTTTAATGTCGAGTGTAGTTTAAGCGATGAACGAATGAAAGGCAGGCACCAAACCACACTCAGGACTTCTCAGGGGAGACCTCACTGTTCTGAGGACGTTCTGCTGTTCTCATTTCACAAAAGAGAAGCCACCGAGGCAGGTTGGTGGATCTCGCTCGGTCTTAGATGTGGAGCCCTGACAGGCAACCAGCGTGGGAACATAAACGCTGATACCCAGAAGGGGCCCGGTGCAGATTCACTGGCTTTAATTTGTGCCTTTTTTCTGGTAAAAATTGAGACAGTTGAGAGTTTCCCACAGACAGCTAGCTTAGTCTCCTCCAAGCCTTTAAAACTCATTAACGTGGGGGCGCCTGGGTGGCTCAGTCGGTTGAGCATCCGACTCCGGCTCAGGTCATGATCTCGTGGTTTGTGAATTCGAGTTGGGTTCTGTGCTGACGGCTCAGAGCCTGGAGCCTGCTTCAGATTCTGTGTCTCCCTCTCTCTCTCTCTCTCTCTCTGCCCCTCTCCTACTCATACTCTGTCTTTCTCTGTCTCTCAAAAATAAATAAACGTTAAAAAAAACCCTCATTAACGCAATGTGTATCATCATTATTATTTAAAACATCTAAAAATCATTATTATTGAAAATTAAAAATATTATTATTCAAAAAATTTAAAAATCATTCCTCAAAAAATTTAAAAATCATGATTATTCAAAAACTGTAAAAATCATTATTCAAAATATTTAAAAATCATTATGTTTCAAAAAGTTAAAAGTCATTATTGTTCAAGAATTTGACAAATCATTGTTACTAAGAAAATTAAAAATCATTAAGACATGTATATTTAAAACACTGTTTATTTTTTAGTTAAAAATTTTTAATGTTTACTTACCTTTTTATTTAATTTTTAAAAATGTAGAGTTTTGACAGAAAGAGAGAGAGAGCACGCACAAGTGGGGGAGGGGCAGAGAGAGAGGGAGACACAGAATCCGAAGCAGGCTCTGGGCTCCGAGCTGTTCTCACAGAGCCTGACGCGGGGCTTGAACCCATGAATTGTGAGATCCTGACCTGAGCCGAAGTCGAACACTTAACTGACTGTGCCACCCAGGCTTCCTATTGATTTATTCTTTTCATGTTTATTTTTGAGAAAGAGAGAGAGCATGAGCCAGGCAGGGCCAGAGAGAGAGGGAGACAGAGGATGCGAGGCTGGCTCTGCACTGACAGCAGAGAGCCTGGTGCGGGGCTCGAACTCACAAACCCATGAGATCATGACCGGAGCTGAAGTCGGACGCTCAACGGACTGAGCCACCCAGGAGACCCCGAAACCATTTAAAAAATCATGAAGACGTAGATCATGTTAATGTGCCTGTGATATGTCTCACCACACGTGCTGTCCTCCCTGTGGGCTTTTCATTTTCTGTCCCGATTCACACACGTGAACACAGACACTACGTAGTGTCGGGGAACAGGTGTTTATGCAGCCCATTCTGTGGATTTCTAGCAAGCTCTCTCCTGTTTCTCCCCATTATAATTAACTTTCCTTGCCACTGGAATATTTCTGACAGGGATTGCCTGTAGCCCTCCCCTCCCCCCCAACCCTTCCCCGATACCCTCTTTCTCTGCTGACACTTAATATTTCGTATCGTGCAACTGCTCACACTCCAGGCAGGCCGAGCGGGTCTCCCGAAGTCTCCCCAAGGGTTCCCAGCAAATGGCTGCAGATTGGAGGCTTGTGTAGGAGGAGGTAGGAAGCCAATGGTTAGTGGGAAGAGACCACCCTCAAATTTACCTCCCCCACCTCCCACCAACTAAGGCTTCGGTGTACAAACCAGAAGCGCTTTCTTCTTGGCTGGCTTCTCGAGACACCAGACGCAGCTGTCACTGGCCACGCCTGGCCCTCACGCCTGATGTCATCTTGCAGCCAAGCAAGACCAATCCAAATGGGACCTGGGAGCCCCAGTTCGAAACTCCTATCGCAGGTCGCTGGCTTCATCCAGGTAGCCACCATTCCAGCCTCCTGGGTGCATTGGTCTTGCTTTGCTGCAGCAGGCATTTTAGCGACCAATCTGAATGACATTTTAACGCGGGCTTACATTCCCGCGTACCGCACTCCCACTCCTTACTGTCTCGCACTCAGTCTATTTCACTCATTTCCATCATCTGCCAGGCTTCCGGAGGCACCTGGGTCTGACAGCCCTGCCCTTAGAGCCACAAGATGACAGCTGGGAGCAGTGCCAGTGAGTTGGTGGGGTAAGAGGGAGGCCAGACCTGACAGTAAGTGATTCTGCGGCATCTACGTGAAAAATACTCCACGGGAGGGACTCACCACCCCCTGACCTAGAAGAAGAAAACCGGAGGGCTCTTACTTTTCTCGCAAAATGGGGGGTCGCTGCTCCAGCTGAGGTCCCACTGGCAGGTGAGGGTGTCACTCCCCACGATGTCATAGCCGGGGTCACACTGGTAGGTGATTCGGGCTCCTCTCACGAGCTCCGTGTGAGAGGTGGTTTTCCAGCCGTTCTGGATCTCGGGCAAGTCTGAGCAGGAGTCATTCCTTGACACCTCTTTAAAACAAAAACATCGTCCTTGGATGAGGAGGTGGGACTTCCTACGTGGGGTTCCCTTTACAACGTCAGAGAAAAGGTGCAGACAGAAGAAAAGGTCTCCAGAAAGAAGCAACCCACTTCAAAAAAATCCCTTAAATTGCAAGAACTCTGCTCCAGTGGGATCTTTACGATGAGCTTTTTCCCATGGGCCACTGCGCCTATCAAGCATTCTTTTGGTTTGACAAAGTCCGTGTAGGATTTAGAACGAGACAGAATCCTAGCTCTGACACTGACTAGCAACATGATTTGGGGGACAGCCACTTCTCTCTGGGTCTCGGGTCCTCCCCGTCCATGATTCCCACTCTCACCCCATTATTCTCACCTCCAGGGATTCACACTCTCCTGTACTCCCCGCAACACCGAACAGGGCTGATGTGCACAGCCAATGGACTATTATAGAAGTGATAATGTGTGACTCCGGCACCTAGATCATCAAATATGTTGACAGGCTCTCCTCTTGCTCTTTGGAGAAAGCAACTGCCACATTGTGAGGATGCTGGGGCAGCCCTCTGGAGAGATCCATGTGGAGAGAATCTAAGGCTTCCCGCCAACAATGGGCATTGACTTGCTAACTGCATGAGTGAGCCATATTGGAAATGGTGCTCCCAGCCCCAATCCAGCGTTCAAATGAGTGCAACCCCAGCTGACACCGTGAGTACAAACCCATGAGAAATCCCAAGTCAGGACCATCCAGCACGAACTCCTGAATTCCGGACCCACAGAAACTGTGAAATCATAAACGTGCACTGCTAATTTTAGGGGGTGGGGATAATTTGTTACACAGCAATGGTAGCTAACGCTCCCAGCCTCATCCTAAGACGGTCTGTAAGTACATGGGTCTGATGGATTTGTGATATATAGTTTTGCAATCTGGATTAAGAGAAACACTCAGCTGTGGAAATAAAAATAATTATTGGTGCATTCTTCCAATCATGTTGCACACCATCAGCGAACGTTAACTGCACTCCCCAAATATGCTACCCCCAGCTCATTACCATAGAGTCTTCCCTTGGAATAATCCCGCTTTCCTTCGGCAAATCCTCGTTACTGAGCCAGCAACCCAAAGCCTGACCTTGCTTCCAAGTGCCCACTGCACAGATTTTTGAGAAGCGAGCTAATGATGCTGTGCAATGAATCCGCAGCTCTCATGTGCTTTTGCGGAAAGCAGAGTGTACCTTCGCCGTCCGCAGGAAAGTCATTCTGAGAAAAAAGCGATGGCTTTTCCTGGGATTTCATCATGACTTTATTTGGGGAACAGAGATCTCACGGGTGTCTGCCAGAGGAAGGGGAGAGGGAAATGGCTCCTGGAGGTGCTTCGTGGGGAACAGGAGCCTCTATATTTAGGCCTTTGAAAAATCAGCCAAGCCCGGGATTTAGGACACAGCTGCAAATGTTCAAGCTATGGATGAAAGGGGAGAAACGGGGGCAGATACTGGATATATGGTTTGCCTTGTGCCAAGTGCTCGGAGGCAGAGAAAGGTTTGCTTGTCTGACTTTTCAGTCCGAGTCAGCATGGCTACATGCTCCTGTGAGACCCACCGTCTCCTTTGCAGTGCTCACATTCTTGATTATCAAGTTGGAGCCGCCATGACTCAGATCTTGGCCCCAACGTTCACTAGTTAGCTGGCCTTGGCTAAGTCACATAGCCTTCCTGTTCTTTGGTTACTAGACTCCACCCCTGGAGACCCTGATTCAAGAATTTGCACATTTACCCAGCACCCCAGATGGAGGTTCCAGCCTTATGGGCCCTTAAGTTTGTTAAGAATGAGAAAGCTGGCCTAGGAGTTGGAGGACCTCCCTTCGGGTCTGTCCTTCTTTTAGAAGCTGTGTGATTCCAGTTATGTTGATAAACATCTCTGAACCTCACTGTCCTCAATCATAGAGTTGAGATCAAGAATTATGACCCTGGGGGTGCCTGGGTGGCTTAGTTGGTTAAGTGGATCCTGCTTGGGATTCTCTTTCCCTGTTTCTCTCTCCCTGTCCTGCTCACATTTGCATACACGCTCTCTCTCTCTCTTTCTCTCACACTCAAAATAAATGAACTTGAAAAAAGAATTATGACCTTGTTTATCATTTAAGGCAATGTGAAAACTAAATAATGTGCATGATATGACACTAAGATGAGTTAAAAAATTTTTTTTTTAGGGGCGCCTGGGTGGCGCAGTCGGTTAAGCGTCCGACTTCAGCCAGGTCACGATCTCGCGGTCCGTGAGTTCGAGCCCCGCGTCAGGCTCTGGGCTGATGGCTCAGAGCCTGGAGCCTGTTTCCGATTCTGTGTCTCCCTCTCTCTCTGCCCCTCCCCCGTTCATGCTCTGTCTCTCTCTATCCCAAAAATAAATAAACGTTGAAAAAAAGAAAAAATATAAAAAAAAAAATTTTTTTTTAAATTTTAGAGAGCGCAGGAGTGGGAGAGAAGGGCAGAGGGAGAGAGAGCGAGAGAGAGAATCTTAAGCAGGTTCCATGCTCAGCATGGAGCCCAACGTGGGGTTCGATTCCACAACCAAGAGGTCATGACCTGAGTGGAAATCAAGAGTCAGATGCTTAACTGACTGAGCCACCCCAGCACCTCACTAAGATGAATTTTGTATTGTTTTATTGATTTGTTTGACTAAGATTTTGTGAGCACTTACTATATGCCAGGCACTAGGAATATGAGGATCTGAAGTCATGGTCCTAGGCTTATGGTCAAGAGCAGCATCATGGTCCAAGTTTTGGGCAAAAGAAAATACTCAAATGCACTGAGTACATGCCTCCATTAACCAGTCTTATGCTCATGGCAGACATCACTAATCGATCATCACAATCTCTTTCTTTGAGTCAGACCAAGACCTCCAATCCTCAACACAGACTCCCAGGAATTACTGTCATTTGATTGGAGTTGACCTACAATATGGAGCATATTTATTGCCCTAGGATTGGAGGAATAAACACACAAGTGACTAATATCTTTTTGAAAAACTCACCCATCTCTGCTTTTTTATTTCCTTGCCTCCATGAACTTTGGCCACAGACACCAGCAAAGCACAAGAAACAGTGAGGAGAACAGTTCTTTGCTCCTGTCTGGGCAAAGCTGAATTATGGGAGATCAGAATCATGTAAGCCCCGTGTGTTTCTGTAGAAGCTTCTGCCAGCAGTCTTAGCAGATTAGCCTTGGCCGCATTGCAGAGGTGGGTATTGGCCTAGAGATCAGTCTAGGGGCTTCAGAAATCTCTAGATGGCCGTGGAAACCCCTGACCCTTCCATGTGACCTTTCAGTGCAATGAGAATTGCATCTATGCCTAGTTAAACCCAGGATAGTAACGACCTCCCCCATGCCATAGCAGACGGCAGTGGGCGATCATGTCATTCTTCTCCCACTGACTTCAGGCGTGGCCTCCTTGGAGTTCTTTTCCACATGATCTTCAACACAGATAGTCACAAGCAATTGACAGCATCAGGATTAAATGCAGAAGCCCACCTGCCATCCCTGTGAAATCGAGCATGTGTTTCTTTAACAGAAAGAAGAACACAACTGTTCTCTTTTTGTGTTACCCACATTAGCCAGGCTCTGTGTCCCTAAAACCCCACTGGCCTCTCCCACGGGGGCAGCATGTGATCCTGACATTGTTAACGGGACCGCCTCCCCCACTTTCACCAGCCAGAGAAAGAAAGGCAGGGAGAGCTGTCTATTCATCCTTGGGTCCTGGTGCCTAGTGCAGGGCCTGGCTCAAATGGAGAGACTCTTGGGAACCAAACTCTCTGGAAAATGGAGATAATGAAATAAAATAATGTATGTAAGAGTGCCTGCCAAGTGCAAGTCGTCACGCAAATCTAAAGTTTCAGCTTCAATAAATAGGAACACCTCCTCCTCAAGATAGTGCCAAAGTGAACATTGGCCAGACTTCCGGGTTAACCTTGAGCAGCCTTGCACAGGGTCAGATTTCTGCCACCAGGCTGAATGCAGTTTTGGAAGGCTGACTCAGGCACCAGAGGGGACAAATGAGCAAAACCATGACCTCATCTTCCAACTGGGAGGCGGAGGGGTGGGCAGGAGGAGAAGAGAGGGCTAAGGAGAGAGACTGAAGCCAAGCCACCAGAATCTCTCCTCCCAAAGGCAGCTGACTCTGGAGGGCACCTCGCCTAGATAGCCAGCAAGAGCTGTTCTGCTATGCCCAGATTCCCCCTCGCCCCAGTAAAAAATGGAGAGCCCATGGAAAGTGGCAGCAGTAACACTCTGAAAATACTTAGCAGTACAATCAAAGGAAGAAAAGGCCCCAGAGAAAAATAAAAGAGAACATCAACACTTGTGTCTGCCTCTCTGAGAGTAGCAGAGCGGGAAGGGATGAGAAATGTCTACCAGCCAGAAACGAAGAAACCAAAAAAGCCAGGGACTTGTTTTCACATGCATGCGGCTCTTTGAGGCAGCCAATGGTCAAGGAAGGGGCTTGTATTTTAGAGGCAAGAGGTGGTACACAGAAGACGCTTTATATTAGGATGGACGGGCAAATCTTCGAGCCAAGGGGAAGAGGGAACCAAAGACACGGAATCTGGATCAAGCTAGAGGGTCTTTGGTGGTGGGCATGGTAGTGGGGAGACTGGAAGAATGAGAGCTCCTTTTATCCCCCTTTTCCATATGGGAAATCCAGGTGTCCACCTAGCTCCTAGGTGACACAAGTGAGTTTTCCGATTGCTGGCTGCATCTTGCCCATTGAAATCCTCAGGGCACAACCACCCACCATCTTGGATGCCAAAAGAGGTTAGGTCTTGAGTACCCCCTGGTGTCTCCCAAGTTCTCTGCTATTGCCAAGAAGATCAGGTGCAGAGAAACACTAAGAGTGGGGATTCAGGAAGCCTGTGGGTGAGCCTCAGGTGTGCGAGACACTGGGACAGCTGTGGTTCCATCTCCTGGGATGGGCAGAGGGACAGGAGCAGCAGCGGAAACTCCTGGGTGGTGGTAGGGGTGGAGGTAGGGATGGAAAGAGTTCTGTATGGGTCATGTTAAATCTGAGATGCCGGTTACACATGCAGAAGGGTAGTTAGCAGGGAGTTGAGTAGATAGTTCACGGGAGAGGTCAAGGTTGGCGGTATGAATTAGGGGCCAATGGAACACAGAGAAGTATTGCTTGCAACCATGGGACTGGACGACAGGGCACATGGGTGAGTCTAGACAGAGGACAGGACTCAGGACGGAGTTGGGACCCTCCAGCATTCAGAGGTTGAGCAGAGAAGGGTGACTGCCAGCAATGAAGAAGGGGGGTTCATAAGTGGGGGATGAGGAGGGAAGGCTGTGGATGGAAGAAACAGTAAGAAGAGAGTGTCGGATGGTTGAACGTGAACTTAGCCTGAACTTCACAGCAGGTGTTTTTTGGATTTTGTTTGTTTGGACACGAAGGGGACAGAAATGGTTTGGAAGCCGCATTGAAGATCAAGGAAGACTCCTCTTGCCTCTCTTATGTCCTGCGGGACTGGAGGTGGAGGGCAAGTGCCTTCTGCGTTCAGTGGGGCTGCAGGGGAAGAAGAGACCTTAGGAAGAGCCAAGCTTCAGGTCAGGCAAGCTGATGGAGACGGGGCTTTGAGAAGTCACAAACACAGGAGAGTTTGCTGATGATATAAAATCCCAGCTGACTACCAGGGGAACACTGTGACCCTGAAAGTCATGAGGCATTATCTACTGAGTCTTGGTATGAAGCCTCTGGAGCAGCTATCAGTTTTTCCATTTTACAGATGACAAAAAGGCTCAGAGAGGCCAAGCGACTTGCCCAAGATTGCACAGCCACTGATAGCAGCACTAAAACTCAAAACCTGGTCCTTCCAACCAGAGAGTCCAAATGCTTAAAAACTACATACATTTACTGTGCCAATACAGCACAAACCCCCCACAAAGACTCATCTAGAAGAAATCATCTGAACACACACACACACACACACACGCACGCACATACACAAATTGATGGGAGGAGACACTTACCTATGTAGTTCATGATGAATCCCTGGCCCTTCCCAAAGATGAGGCCGGCAGGGTCTGAGTGGAACTGGATGGTTAGGTCTGGCGTGGACGAGTACAGCTTCTGGGGGCCGCTGTTCCCAAGGTACTGCCCCAAGATGTGAGGCATGACCTCATCGCCGTCATAGATAGTCAGGATGTCGCTGTTGCTCAGGTTCAGGCTTGGGGGCGGGACAGAGAGAAGAGGAGAGGTCTCGTGAAACACAATCACGGGCGCACAACAAGCCTTTGATTTATTTTTGCAGGCAACACACATGTTCCTGAGGCATCCTAGGTAGCAGGTGCCGGGCTAGGAACCTGGGGGGAGGGAGGCATGGATCACAGATGCGACCGGGGCACGCTGATCCTTCCCACGAGCACACACGGTGCCTGGGTTTGGGGAGGGACTGGGCTTTTGAAGACTCACGCAGGAGATGGTCTTTCCTGCAAGGAGGTCTTTGCACAGTCGCACGCTGCATTGTTGGTAAAATTGCCTCCAATGCTGGTGACGCTAAGTGCCGGGCACTGGACTACATGCTGGGGGTGCGACACAGGCCTTTCATCCTTTGATGCAGAGCAAGCTGCCTGCTTGCTAATTAGAACCTGCATTTTCATGTCAGGTGAAATGATCCTTCCATTCATCATGTGGCAAAGTCCTCAAAATCAAAGCCAGGTATCTATTATGTGTAGGGGATGGGGCAGAGGGTGGGATGGGGGCACCTTATTCATGAAATGTACTCAAACCTGCTGTCAATATTCTTAACAGGAAAGGATGACACACTGTCAAAGACGTGAATGAAAGAAAGCACCTTGACACTAAATATCAGGACTGCAATGGACAGTTAATAATCCAGAAAGCACTTCAATGTGCCAGAGAAACATGTGTTATGTTAGGTGTGCCAGATAAAATTGATCTCTGATTGAAAGAATGCCAGATAATTCAGTGTTGGCTGGAGACAGCTATTAACTTATGCCTCTTCCCTTCTATTCTCCTTCTTCCCTTCCCTTTTACATCTTTCCCCTCTTCTTGTGTCTCTCTCCCTAATATTTTTGAACACCTACTAGATACCAAGCTGTGCTCACAAGAACCACAGAGGGGTGGTATATTTAGACTAGGAAGGAAACCAGGTCTTGTGGTAGCAGTTACAATCAACACACGTGCAGAGAGAGGAGACTGGGGGCATCATGGCGGCCTCCCTGGAAGAGGTGATGCTTCCTGTGGATGCTCAAGAAAGCCTGGAGGACACAGAAGGCTGGAGGGCTGTAGGATCCAGACCGTGAAGGGCTTAAGGAGCCAAGTTTATGTGTTTGAATGTCATCTTGCTTGGGATGAAAGCAGCTAGACACTGCCTGAGGAGATGCATTCCAGGAAGTGGCCCTGAGCAAAGTTCCTGGAACTCATGCAGGAGTGACAATAGCTATCCCTTGTGACAGCTTCATCCAGTGCCCATGGGCAGGGGTGGTCAGGGAGGGTGGAAACCACCCATGGTGGTGCTTCCAGGAGAAGGAACAAAAACGACAGAAACACAAGGAACACTGTGGAAGTGGTGCTCACAGAGGGCAGGGGGTGTATTTTATTCCCCAGCATCTCTCACATTTCTCAGGCAAACTTGCCCAAGGGCTGATTTAGGGACGTTCTAACTGTCCCCATAACCTCCATCGGCTTCCTTGGCACCACTTTCCTAATAAAAGCTGTCCGCTTGCTTTGCATGTGTGGCTTCAAGACAGAGCCATAGACTCATCATACCCTCTGCCAGTTTCCAGCTAAGGCTATCCAGCCTCCAACCCCTATTGTACTGAAATTCCGGAGTTGCCGCCTTCTCTTGCACATATCGTAGGTGCTCAATATACGCTATGGTATGAAAGAGCCTGCCAGAAAGTCTATCTTAGAGCAGAAATAGTGAGGTTGATGTCAGCTCTTGACCTGTGATAGGGAAGAGCCTCTTAACTCTAAGAACCATGAAAACATCAATCGTTCGTGAAAGGGGCTGGATTAGGCTGGTGTGAAATGTGTAGATCACCGATATTTATTCCGAAAGCTGACTTCACAGCCGGTCTGCTGGTAACAGTGGGTTCCAGAGAGTCTGCAACTTGCTTTTACTCTATCATTCATTTCAATGCTCTAAATGCAGTGGAAGCATCTCCAAGGATGCAAATAGCTTTCATTTGAAAATCCTAGCATCGCTCTTTGTCCTTTGTAAAGCAGGAAGCTGTGGTGCGCTGGAAAGAGCATGCTGCCTTGGAAATCAGAAAGCTTTGGTTTGATTCCCGGCTCTGATACTTGCACGGAGGGCATGTGGTTTTTCTGATGTTCCTTGTCTGTGAACTGGGCTTAATATTTCCGGTCTATGTCATGGGCTTTTGGAGTGAGATAAGGCATGCTGAAAACGTGGGATCAAATTCTAAATCCACTGACAGCACCTGAGCAAGTCTGGTCAAGTCATTTGAATGTTCTGTCATTATGAACATCACCACCATCAACCTCACCACCATCATCATCACCATCACCACCACCATCACCACCATCACCATTACCATTGCCATTATCATCACCACCATCATCATCACCACCAGCATCACCACCACCATCATCATCACCACCATCATCACCATCATCACCACCACCATCATCATCATCATCACCACCACCATCATCACCACCACCACCATCATCATTACCACCATCACCACCATCACCACCACCATCATCATCATCACCACCACCATCATCACCACCACCACCACCACCATCATCACCATCATTACCACCACCACCATCACCACCATCACCACCACCATCATCACCACCATCATCACCATCATCACCATCATTACCACCATCATCATCACCACCATTGCCATTATCATCACCACCATCATTGTCACCATGATCATTATTGTGCTCTCTTTAGATTGCTGTTTACAGCAGATGACTTCCATCAGTGGTTCTCAACTAGGGGTAGTTTTGTTCCCCAGGAGACAGTTAGCAATGTTCAGAGACATGGTTGTCCCAGCTAGGGGGTGTCACTGGGGAGTCAATGACAGGGATACCATTAAACATCCTACACTGCATGAGACAGCCTTCCACAACACAGAATCATTTGGTTCAAAATGTCAACAGCGCTAAGGCAGAGAAACACTGACTTATGTGAACGCATGCTGTAAACAGTGTGCAATAGACTATTAACTGCAACTTCTATTGTCCTGGGATTCCAGCAGAAGTCCCCTGAGCTAAGAATAAGCAAATAGGTTCCGAGTATTCCTACTTTTGAAAGCGCTATTGACTGAAACTGGGTCCTCCGGAAGCAGAGCTGAGCAAAGACGAATGTCTCCTGGAGTCAGGCTGGTCTGGGAGGCCACCCCAGGCAGCACTGGTGAGGTGGTGAGGTGGGAGGAAGCGGAGGAGCTAATATATAGTCATGGATGGGAGAGTTCCACTGTGGGCCCTGGGCTCAGTCCCGCAGGAACAGTCAACAATGGTGTAGAACATACCTCGGGGGAGAGGGAACTGGGAATTCATCCTCCAACCCTGATCCCTCATTGGCTGAGGGTTGCTCTTAAGTGTACCAACCCCCAGCACTTCTGGCCTGCCCACGAGGTGCTTGCAGTAGGAAGCTATGGTAGGTACACCGTGGCAAGTGCTGTAGGACTGAGACAGGGTATCCATGGCACCTGCTACTGCATCACTTCTGATCTGCGCCCTTCCCCTCTCTAGCTTATAGAAGGCGAAGCATTTATTGGGCTGCTAAAGAGGCTTGCAAGAAGGACCTACTCAGTGAGTGTCACTCAGGAGGGGGTACTAAGGGAGGGGAGAAAGTGTTTCATCTTCACCTTAAGCCTGGTGAGGAGGGCTTCAAGGACACTTGGTGGCTTGGCAGGTGCCTTTGGGACTTGGGGACCAGTGACTGACTGCATTTGATGCTCATCAAGAAGAGAGTAAGGACTCTCAGTCAGACTGGAGCTGCCTGCCTGCCTTGGGGGCAGAGAGAGACAAGAGGGGAAAGGAGGTGTTGGGAGTGAGCTCCCCATCACTAATGAAGTAGGGACAGGAATCATATTTCCTGGGTCCAGATGTGGACCCTGAAGAAAGGAGCCACTGTGGGTGTCCTTAAAAGTGTCCCCCATCCTGAAAGGGGGATGGGATCCATCCAAAAGGAAAGCCAAGAGCAGCCAGACTCAAGAGACGTTGCCCCCATCAAGTTCCCCACGACAGAGAAAAAGCCCAGCATTCTGTATCTTCCGTGATGTGACCGTGCTGTCCAATCAGGCTTTTTTGGGAGTAGGAAGCAGTTCCCCCAGGCCCTCCCTACTGCAGAATTCCCAGCCTAAGGAGCCCTGTGGAGGGCGCGGGGAGTTTGAAAATGAATGATGTTTAGGGCTTTATGGTTAGTAGACTGAGCCATACTTGTTATGACCAGAAGACCTGTAAAAACTAAGCTTTCCCCCCAAGAAGTGCAAAAACAAAAACAAAAACAAAAACAAAAAACAAAAAACAAAAGAAAACAGACCATGAATGATGGGGCAGTGAAAGAGTAAGGTTACTCTCTGCCTTATCCTTCTGGATCCACCTTCTTTCTCCCCCGCCCACCTCAGAAGACAAGCCTGCATTTCGCTTGCCCGTCCGGCTATATTTAATACACGGAGGGCATCCAAGGTCCCCACCGCTGGACTGTTCTCAGCAACCGAGACAAAAATGCAGAATTAACAGCCAAGAGACTGGCCATGGGGCACAGCAGGGGCCTTCCATCGAGGACTCCAGTGAGACATCGGCCAGATAACAATCCAGGGAGGTGCTGAGAAATCAGGGTCAGTTTGACTCCAGAACAGACATGGGATGGATAGATGCTGGCAGGCAGGTGGGTTTGAGAGGACTGGAATTGGGTGTAGGCAGGTCCTCTGCAGGGAGGATGCCACAGGGACAGCCCCTGTCTCCTCCAGTCCCTCTATGGGGCCAAAGGGCCAGGCTTTCGTGGAGTTCCAACCAGGAGACCCCCGCTCCTGTGTCTCCTTCTGCCCCTGTCTTTAGTTTTTCTCCATCCCCCTTCAGTTGGACCATAGGGAAGCACCTCCTTGCCTGGCCCCAGTCTCTTTCCTCGGCAGCCAGATGAATCCTTCTGAAACAATAAATCTGGTCCCTTCACTGAACGGATGAATGGAGAAGCAAAACGCAGCGTATCCCTAC